TGAAACCAGTGAGATAACTTAGTCATTATTTAGTCCATTATTTAGTGCATTATTAGTCCATTATTTCAATAGGACTTAAGATCAATAAACTTTCTATGCTGAACACAGCTGGGGCATTTTTGTGCAAGAAGGATTTCTACTTGATCTTTTCTCCTTGTTAAACCCCATTTCCTAATGCCTAGTCCAGTCACAGGTTGTATTGTACCTAATTTTACATTCTCACAGCAAAACTCATATTGCAAAAAGTGGGGGATTGGGGGGGTAGAGTGTTGATTTTTTAGAATTACTGTACAAAAGTGATTTCATGCTCTATTTACAGTTCACAAGTGTTCAGTGGAGTGTTCCATTTGCATTCTCCCCAACACACATCACAAATAAATTTGATTATTGCTCTGTTTAGAAGCATGAAGTCAGGTAGCATTAGCAAAATTGCTCACATTGGCTCTCATAATTGCTCCCTTTGTCAGGTAATGGCAAAGTCTGTCCAAATAAAGCTGATAACACTCCTATTGTTGGCACAGATTCCTGAATCAAAGGCCACTTCGGGCAGATGGAAGTTATTACTTTCCCTGTCCACTCACAAGCCATATCCTCTTTTTTTTTTGGTCTTCCATATAAAAAAGAAAATGTAATAAATCTATATTAAATAGGATGTGTTATAAATGCAGTGCAAGAGTATAAAGTTCTCTCCAATATTTGTCTAGAATAAGTTTTTATTTTTAAAATTAGCTGCCTATCCATCTTCAAGCCAACATCTGGCGTGAGAAGTTTTTTTCCCGTTCAAAAGACCTAGTCAAAGTACCATGGGCCGATTAGATATCTGTGGCAAGAAGGAACTTTCTCAAACTGTGTTTCAAACTTGAGAATATTTCAATACAGCCCAGAGTGAAAAGGTGTCAAGGGTGCAATGAGGAGAACCTGAAGCCCTCCAGATGTTGGGTTCTCAATTCCTACCAACCTCAACCACCTTAGCCAATGGTCAAGGTTGAAAGGAGTTCCCCACTCTAGGCCCTGCTAAGCTGGGGCTTGTTTTGCGTGATATAGTTACGTGTCAATTCACCCCATACAGTGACTATCACCATGTGATGGACTTTTCACATCCTGCAGCTGCACATCTAGAATGATGACATACACACACAAGTAAACAGCTTTTCACAGTGATGTGTAGTAAATTGCTTTGTGAAAGCCACAAACAAGGGATGCAGATTTTAAGCCTACTATATGTGGGAAGTGTGGGTGAAGCTTGTGTCACTGTTATTTTATTTTATTATGAACGAGGCTGTTTTGAAGGGGAGTTTATTGTACCCGCAATGCTTTTAAATTTAAGATAATATTTTTGTTTTACTGTTAACTGTGCTGCTTTAAATATGTCCTTTATATTTGACCTTTGTATGCAATGTTTATTTTGCAAAGCTTTATTTGATGCTTTAAATTAGGTTGTGAACTGCTTGCGAGGTTATAAATAAATAAACAAATAAATGAATAATTTAAATAATTAAATAAGTATTATGTATATACTGGCAAAATGCTACCATCGTGATAAGTTTCAGACTTTTATTGTTGAAGCTGGTGGGACCAGGTAGCAATATGTATCATAAACGCCCCAGGAAAATAAATAAATAAATAAATAAATAAATAAATAAATAAATAAATAAATAAATACATACATACATACATACATACATACATACATACATACATACTCCATCCATCCGTCCATCCATCCATCCAAGAACACCCCTTGATAGTGACAACAACATAACTCTGTAATTGACAATCTGTTGCCTTTTAATTATACCTCTAAAAGTGCTTGAACGTCACCTCAGCCTGGCTGAGGAAGTTTGGCTCTGCTTCTTGTCAAGAAACACTGCTCCCTTTAGGGATCCTACAAATTCTGCTACAGGCAGCGACCATTTCAGGCATGTCCAATTGATGTGTGACTGCCAACATATGGGTCCTTTTCGACCTGGAGGAATGGGGGCTGGGCAGGCTTATGTGCGTTCCCCTGATGTGCATAGCGGGAGGCAGTGAGAGATTTTACTTTCTTGGGCTCCATAATCACTTGAGGGCACAAGGAGAAGGAGACAACAGAGGACGAGATGCTTGGACAGTGTTCTCGAAGCTACCAGCATGAGTTTGACCAAACTGCGGGAGGCAGTGGAAGACAGGAGTGCCTGGCGTGCTCTGGTCCATGGAGTCACAAAGAGTTGGACACGACTAAACAACTAAACAACAACAATAGCATTTTGCATGGTGCTGAGAAACAAACAAATAGAATCATACCAGGAAATGGTGGAAGAGAGCTGGAGAGTCCTTGTGGCTTGTGAGGAGACCCTCTCCGGAGCCCGAAGAGGATGTCAGTGTGGGCAGAGGAAGTCTCAAAGAAATCTGAGCTGCATCGGGACTTTGTTTAGTCTGCTCAGCTTCCCTGCTTAACAGCTGACGTGCTCGGTAGCACAGCAGCAGCAGGTGCTTTCTGTTAGCTTCTAGATGGTCCCAGAGCTTCAACTCTAGATATTTTGGTCTGGATTGGAGAGCGGGAGAGAGCTGGAGAGCAGGGGAAAATAGGCATTTAGTGGGCTTTTTAACACAATTTCACTTATGTGTGCGGCGCCCGGAACATAAGCCCGCATAAGTGGGGGGGATGCCTGTATAGAGAAATGGAGACTGCTGTCTAGCTCACTTAACAGGATCTATTAAAGTATGCTAATTAAGATTCTGTGCTTCAGGAAGGGGAAAAGGTTGTACTTTAAAATCTGAGGGGCTCATCCTTGTAGTGTACATTTACGACGTTTCTTTACCTCTGCAGAAATTCTGACTTGCCCTCACAACAAATCTGCATGTTTTAGACATGCTCGAGCTTGAATATGCAAATTGAAAAGAATGTATTAATTATCATTAGACATTCCTTCACAAAAGACTAGAACTAATTGGAGAAATAATTTGGGGAAATTGAGCTACATGACAGAAAACATTAAGATTCATCAAGTTTCAATTCTCTAATTCTGTCAGCTTGTCAAAAGTAGGAGTCTGCTATTAATATCTAAATGACTGGAGAGCATTTTTTCTCTCCACACCCACCTCACCCTCCAACAAATAGTACAGTTTACGACCTCTTAAATGTTTGCTTTCAAATTAACCAGACCTGACCAGAGTGTTCTCCCACCCCACCCCCCGGGTTGAAGGTTATTGACAAAGAAGTTTTAAGAAAAACTTTGGGGGTTATCCCAGTTATTGAAGTTCAGATTTCAGTATGTCTATTCAGCATGACTAACTTATTACCCTTAAACTGGATACATAGCTTGATTCGTGATATAAGCCTTTGGTGAACTAAGGCTAGAAATCCAGAGTTATATAAAAATACATTTTCAAAAACTCACCTCCTAAACAATATGGCCTCCTCAACAATATGGGATGAAGTGCTGCTGGGAAGCGGAGGGACTTTGCAGTACCTCACAACCCAGCCTGCTTTGGAAAGGGAGCAGTTTTATTTTTCAAGCCATCATTTCACAATACTCCCTTCCCTCTTCAGTCCTTTGCCTACACTTTAGGTGAAGCCCCAGGATGACCGCCGCTGAAAAGTTTTGTGCTAAAATGCTGACTGGAATTCAAATTGCTAACCATCTGCTTCAAACCAATAGTTTGAAATGCAGATAGTTCTGTTATGAATATCTGCCTCTTAAACTATTGGTTCAGAGCAGATGCTTTTAATAACGAAGCAATTAAACAGCCAAGGCATCTCTTAAGTTGGAAGTCAGCAATCAAAGTACTTGTGTGGTGAAAATACCTAGAGATCCTGCAGAGTATGATATAAACAATACTTATAAATCATCACTCAACGTTTTGCATTTTTGTGAAACTAAAACAAGAAAACTGAAAACAGAAAGTCTTAGTAATACAAGGACTAATATCCAGAGCTGCACAGAACAGAATTCCAATAACTCTTGCAAATACCTTGTTCCCCTTCCCAAAAAGAAAAATCTGCTTCAGTGGGTTGTGGGGTCTGGCATATATCACTTCCTTGTCTGCCTGAGGGGGCACCCAGTTCATGGGAGCGTCTGCTGGATTCAAGACATTTCTGTTAGCAGAAAGAGTCCTTCTATTTGTAGGGCAACAGGTCTGGCTCCAACTCACTGCCAACAAGTGTAAAAATGGACAAAGTTAACAAATGTGATTTCTGCCAAAGACCTGCTGAAGTATTTTAAAAGAGGCCAGGAAAAGAAGGCAAAACATGATTTTCTAGGGAGAGAATTCTGTAGCTCAGGTGCCACAACAGAGAAAGCCCTGCTCTAGGTAGATCAAAAGTCGGGATTTGAAATCAGGCCTGAAACTGGCAACCTATGCTGGTGGCTTGAAAACATATTAATATATTCTCACCAGCTCATTTCATTTCATAGATGGACAGCAACATTTTGTACCACCTAAAGTTTCCAAGTCATCTTCAATGGGATGTGCTTTGGAGCTCATTACAGTAGTCTGATCTGGACGTCACGGATGACAAATAGCTATTTTTATCTTCCAACATTTGCAAACTGGCAAATTAGTTAGTAAAAGGTATTCCAGACAGACCAGAGATATTGTTGTGGGCAGCGCACATGCCACAACTCTCCCCTCCCCAAATGTAACCCAAAAAATGAGATCTGAAATAACCTTCTATTAGCCATGAAAGGTTTCTTCAAGTGAAAATTCAGTAGGAAGCCGTCAGTGCCCTAGCTCCTGGTCCAGATGTACCCATAGATGCCACTCCAAATTTTGAATATGATTCTTTATGACACTTCCTACAATGTGGCAGCCTATGTGCTTCTCTAAAATCAGCATCAATATAGTGTGTGTGTGTGAAGTTGTAAACCTGTGTATAAAAAGTGATCTGTTTTCTATTCATTTCTGAATAAAAAAATTGTCAAGACAGTGAACAACGTTGTGATCAACGTTGACGTTGCTGTATGTCAAGGGAAACGTAGCAAAGTCAGTGTCTCAAAGACAACACGGTACACAGAAGATTTCTGTATAAGTAACAACTTTATTGTAACTTGATGTCCTGAAATGCAAAAATATTTTCAGCAACAAGGTACAAAAAGTATTTCACTGTTAACATCAGGCGGATATAAAAGGCTGGATGGTTTGATGCAAGTGTTTAACATGATAGGTAATGTGAATAACTCCCAGCTAAGACCCAGGTTTAAAGTCCTTCCAATGTTTAGATTCTAAAACAGAACTAAAGAGAAACCTTCATTCTGACATATCAAAATCCAGGATTAACTAGATTACAGAGTATGATTAACGCAAACCACAGCAAACACTGACAAAAATAATGAGTGTCCATTTCAGGGGAAGTCCATTTGCTGCAAGCAGGAAGCAAGCAATTCAATGTACTTGTGTTGTAAAACAAACCAGTACCTAACAGTTTGTAGGAAGTGTTAAGAAAATCCAATCAACCCAGCCAATAAGAATTAAAACTTGGGACAAACATCAATTGGTTTTAAAAAATCATATGTTATAGCCTAAAAACAAAGCATCTCCCAGTGTTTAACCTCGCAATTTCTATAGGAACTTTACTAGCACAATTATTTAGACTTGACCTTGAAGGAACAGCCTCTTCATAAGGGGACAAACACAGATACTGTGCTCTGTGTTACTCTTAGAAGGCAGATGTCATCAAAAACTCATTGAAATTCCATAGTTAAATAATGAAACCATGCCAACAAAAACACACACACAACCCCAACACAAATCATCTTAAGCCTTTCTTCTATCAATAACCTCATTTTAGAATTCAGAGTTTACTGAGCACAGAGAAAATATACGTCTGAAAAATATTTTGCATCTGTAGCTTCTGACGATAGACAAACTGTCGTACATATACCCACTCTATTCTGCATTCATGTATTCCTCATACATCAGTACTCCTCTATACCTGTTCCAAGAATTTTCAAAAACAAATTCATCCCATTATATTTCAAAAAGGCACTATGCATTCATACTTCAGCATGCAGTAAATGGACTGTCGAAATCTGGATGGGTTACTGAAGTTTCCTTCACTGAAGTACATTGTCACATACTTCAATTAAGTGAATCCTCTGCCACTTTTAACAGCAAACAGAGTCCTATTTTTCTGAAAAATAAATCTTTGTTAAAAACTCACACACCATTACACAACACATGCAGGGTGCTCCCTTGGGGGGCGGGGCTTGATGGTGATGGCCGGTGGGTATTGAAGGGACAGAGTTGGCAAGCCAAACATGGCACTTGGGTAACTGTGCTGAAAATCCCAATGAGCAGACTGTTACTATTCTCACCAAATGTCAAGTATTCAGCCACAAAAAGCATGTGCAAACAGACCTTTTCTCCAGCAGCACTAGGGGGAGGATCATGGCTGTCAATGGGCTGAACCAAATCAACAGGGCCCTCCAGTGGAGAAAGGGGTAATTGCTACCAATTCCCCCCTGCTCCCTTAGCCCCATGCATCCCCCCCCCAAGCTGCTCTAGGGGGTCAGGTGACCCTGCAGGACAGCTGGGAGATGGAGCGCTGGGGCTGAAGGAGGAAGGAAGTGAAAATCACCTTTCTCACCTTTTCCCACTGAGAACCTCTAATGGACTTTAGATCTCTTCTCTGGAAAGAGAAGTCTAATTCCAATCAGGATTTTTTCATATGGAACAAGAGGAAATGTAATCAGACTGCAGCAAGACAGAGAAAATTGTTCTTGCCAGCACTATTGGAAGAGTGAAAACACTGCATGTGGTTCACTAAAGGGGGGCAGGGGGCAGGATGTGGATTTGTTTAACCCTTTTTGTGTATTTTTAATAGCAAATGCATGGAACAATATACACACAGCTCCTGCTTTCAGAACACAATGCATTTCCAGGAAATCGTTTGATAGGCAAGTGTTCACATAATAAGCTGATGGTTTCCAATGTTTCCTATGGGAACATTTCTAATCCATGATTTGTCTGATCTCCCTGTCTGGTTTCTGCCTGAAATGGCTGCTGCCGACCAGCAAACCACAAACAAGTAAGGAAGTAGGTAAACGCTGGCTGTTCAGATATCTGAATCAGCCATTTGTATAGTGAGGTTTGGGTATAATTATTTGTGTACAGATAACTGAAATTCCAGATAAACAGTGTTCCATAGTGGGACCTGCGTGTGTATCAGTTATCATGATTGGCTGCTAAGTGTACCATGTGACATACATTTTGTTAATTTGACAAGTGGACTTTTCATAAGAGTTGTAGAAATTCTTACAGCACAGTGTTTTAATTATTATTTTTTGGTACAAAGTGTGCTATTATGCTTTTTAAAAACTTGTAAACAAAATGCTTAAGATCTTCCATCTGATTGCTCTATCTAGCAGTTTCTGAATAAGCTGAAATGGACAATTATGGTATTAAATAGTCAAGTCACTCTGTATATTATAGCTGCAACTTTCATGTTGCAAGGCTGTTCATTATGATAATTTCTTACACTGCAATGGAGGGACACAGCTTACCTGAAAAAACACCTACAAGACCTTAGTTTGGATTAGGAGAAACTGCCAATAAATGTTATAAGCTATGATGCATCTCTGTATCAGTTTGGTTCACTGAGTAATATTGAGGCCCACTGAAACCACCAGGAGTGCAATTAAAATGGCCTTTAACTGTGCCTGAAGGATGATAATTCAAATACTGCATTCAACTCACCCTAAAGAGTGAGTTTAGCCAGAAAGTGGGTAAGTTTCACATTTTAGCACTGTGCTGGCTTGGGAGCACTCTGCTTGCCCCCAGCTGTTCTTTAATAAATGTTTACTCAAATTAATAAACATGCTCGAGAACTTTAAACATGTCAATGCTCCTCACTGAAAACAGAAAGGAGACAAGTTTTGAGAAGGTATAAAAAACCTTAATAGAGTAAGCATGTGAATCAAACGGGTCAATTAAAATATTTAGTTAAAAATTCAGAGCAATTCCCTTTTCCTATGGTTAAATACAACTTTTACCACGCAACAGATCTAGCACATCACCAGGTTTAAAGTAAAATTCACTGTCAATCATTCAAGAAGCGTTTACAAATGTGCACTGCTGCAGACAAATCCTCCCAACTGTAAACAAAGCTAGCAAAAACACTGGAAGTGGTGGCATGAAAGCGAAGGTTTGTATAGAAAAACTGGCCCTTTACAAGCAGTTTACAGGTTATTATATCCTTTTCACATTATGCAGAATTTCAATACCATCCACAATGCTAGTACAATAGCAAATGCTAAAAACAGCAAGTCAGTGCTTATAAATACTGACGTTTCAGACTCCTATTCTTCCTGTTAAGTGTGTGTCTGTGCAACTTTCACTAGTGTGAACAGGCTTGTGCATACACACACTAAAGGAACATAGCTAAGCCTGCCCAAAGTGTGAAAATAGAATGGATTCTGACATGAACACTTGAGATAGTCACTTTGAATCAACATCTCTAAAGTCATGCTTTCCTTGTTTGCAGTAACAAAACTAAATCCCATGTGGCTGTGGGCATCTTAATGTATTTCAAAAGTTAGGCCACAATTGCTGTACCATATTTATCAAAACCAAAATATATATGTACCACACAACATACAAAAGTTACACATTAAAAGTGCATACTGAGAATCCATAATTTGGCCCATTTCTGAAATTTACATTTGGTCATTCTTATGCATCCTTGACCTTCCATGTATCCCATGTGAGAAATAACCACTTCTTCCCCAGCATACATCACTTGTTCTCTCTCCATACTAGCTTTCGCTCTGGTTCAGTACAATGTAAATGTAAAATAGCAACGAATCGTAAAGGAACACAGGCCAAAAAGGGTTACTGTGTGTTTCTTTTAACATCTGATGGAGACACTCACGGAGTAAGCATTTAGAAATTCTAGCAAAATACATTTCTGGGCCAAGACATTGCATATTTCTCTCACTCACCTGAACCAATGAAAAATAAATTATATTCAGAGTAGTATATTGCCACAGCATGCCTGGCAGCACCCTCTGAAGGTAGATGCACCCTAAATACAGTACTTTGACTGGAGTGCTTGCTGCCCCTCAACTCAAGCGCTTTTAATAAGAGGCTAGTTGAAACCTTCCAGTTACCACAAGACCAAATTATACTCTTCATTTTGGGTTCTGTTTTGTTTTGTTAAAAAAGGAAGATCCCTTTCAAGAACGGTCTTCATTTATCAGCATTACTGCATTATGGAGCTAGTGCAATCCTACATAGCCGAGTCAAAAAGACGAGGCACAATTTAAAAAGAAAAAGGAAAAAGGAAACCACAAATGAACTAGAGTAACTGACGTTAAGGCCTTTCAGTGAACTGGAGAGTTATCAGTCTAAATTAAAGCTGATTATTAAACCATATATTATTATCCACTCTTAAAAGCTTTCTGTTCTGTGGACAGGGGGTAGCAAATTCTGGCAGATGGTCTGTGGAAACCCCTCTGGACAGGGATGAGGAGTCTTATATTCTCTATAGTTCATGGAAGATTTCATGACTGTTTTAGTCGTTTGCGTGGAATGCCAAACTGTGGACACTGTGCAGATGCTAACGCTCGAAAGGCCTCAGCTACTAAGTGGGGGTGGGAGTGGATCATTGACTTCCAGCCGGCCGTTTCCATGATGTCCGTGGCTTGGCTGTCAATAAAAGAATTACAAGAATCAGGTTCAGGAGACAATGCAATCCTATGTATGTCCACTTTGAAGTTACTACAGTAAGTTCAATGGGACATGCTCCCAGGTAAATCAGCTTGCTGGTATATCTGAGCCATGGATTAGAAGAGTGCCTGCGATCCTGTGCATACTTTTCTGGAAGCAGGCCCCATTAACTCAATGGGAATTGCTTCTGAGTAAGCATGCATAAAAAGGTAAAGGTAAAGGTACCCCTGCCCGTATGGGCCAGTCTTGACAGACTCTGGGGTTGTGCGCCCATCTCACTCAAGAGGCCAGGGGCCAGCGCTGTCCGGAGACACTTCCGGGTCACGTGGCCAGCGTGACAAAGCTGCATCTGGCGAGCCAGCGCAGCACACGGAAACGCCGTTTACCTTCCCGCCAGTAAGCGGTCCATATTTATCTACTTGCACCCGGGGGTGCTTTCGAACTGCTAGGTTGGCAGGCGCTGGGACCGAGCAACGGGAGCGCACCCTGCCGCGGGGATTCGAACCGCCGACCTTTCAATCGGCAAGCCCTAGGCACTGAGGCTTTTACCCACAGCATCACCCGCGTCATGCATAGCATTGTACTATTAAGGAGAATTTTTTCAGCTGTTTTAGAAATTGTGCACTTGGCTGCAAAGGACAATCTAGCTTTTGGAGAATCTGCAGCAAACTTGTTTTTCAATTTTAAGTCAAATTTTTAATTATTTGTACCCCATCCCATTGGGTCACCCCAGCCACCCTGCTACCAAAGCAGAATTTAAAAACTTGCAGTCAGTACAACATTGACTTCTCTGAATCACATGATTAAGTTTGACCATGACTACAAAAGCTGTCTTTCAGATTTTCAAGTCCTGGATCAACATGGGAAGCTTGTTTAAGGTTTCAGCACAGGCCCTATACTGTTCCAGATGGACATTACAAGAATATTTTCTGTGACTTAAGATGCTGCACTTGTGGTATGAGAACAGTGGAAGATATTCTCTGTCAATTTCAGTGCCCTATGCACAAGGAAAGAATTGCTGGCCCGGATTCAACTAACTCAAGTGTGCTAGCAGAAGCCAGGGGGAAGGGCTCCCATTATTGAAACATGCCCCCCCCAAATTTGCTCTAGGGAATGAGGAAAACCCCCAGAAGAGCACATTTGGGGCGGGGGAAGGAGAAGAGGGACTGCTCCATCTGGCAAGCAGAAATGCTTGTGCTGATGGAACAATCAGAAGAGTGTGACCTGGAATTCCACCCATAGTCTCAGTTTCAAGTCTGCTTAAGTCTACAGAAAATGGAGATACAGGAAAAAATTGGTAACAGAAAGTGGCTTCATTTCTTTTGCAAGAGGAAGTTGGGAACAAATCTATATGGATACTGGTATTCTAATTATTTGTTTTTGGTATACATTGTTTATTCTGCTATGATAGAATTTAAGATCAAGACAACAAAAACTGATTGGGTTGTAGTCAACTACGTTTTACTCAGAGTATAGCCAATTAATGACCCTCAGTCACATCTATTAGCTTTGATAGGTCTACTCTGATTACAGGAATTGTGCCAAATACCACACACTGTTTACAGACGGCTTTGAAGCGTAGCCAGTACGTACTTGCTGTTCCAGTTTTTCGCATCTTTACAACCAAGTTGCCTAAGAACACTGCACCTGTGGCATGAGAGAATATCCAGATATTAATTTTTCAGGAGATTTCACTTCACAGGATGCAAATTCTTTTTAAAGGAAGGAAGTCAATTACATACCTGTTAATAAACTCTATTGCTTGTGCTTTCAACTGCTCCGCACTGTGCAAATCTGAGAGGATGAGGATGTCTGCAACATTTTCTACTGAGAGGTTACTACACAGAGCTTCTTCACACATGATCTTTAGCCGTTCCAGTGCATACTAAACGAAGAGGGGGAAAGCCCGTTGTTGTTCACATTTGTTCTTTCCTACCTTAATCTAAAAAGCAGACATTTCTAATAGGTATATACTTTGTAGTAACTGTGAAGTAATTGGCCCCTCAAAGAATTGCCAACTGTGTTAATGTAAAGAAATAGACAGACTCCCTTCAAACACACATTCAGTGGCTGTGTGAGGTGGAATGGGACTGTGCCGGCTGCTTATGTTACCTGGCGGCTGTATCTCTGGCAGAAGAGGACCTATGTATATAAAAAGGTAAAGGTAAAGGTACCCCTGCCCGTACGGGCCAGTCTTGACAGACTCTAGGGTTGTGCGCCCATCTCACTCTATAGGCCGGGGGCCAGCGCTGTCCGCAGACACTTCCGGGTCACGTGGCCAGCGTGACAAGCTGCATCTGGCGAGCCAGCACAGCACACGGAACGCCATTTACCTTCCCGCTAGTAAGCGGTACCTATTTATCTACTTGCACCCGGGGGTGCTTTCAAACTGCTAGGTTGGCAGGCGCTGGGACCGAGCAACGGGAGCGCACCCCGCCACGGGGATTCGAACCGCCGACCTTTCGATCGGCAAGTCCTAGGTATATATACAGCTTAAATACAATTTGCCCACTATTAGCTATAAAAGCCTGCTGCTGTCATCTCAAGCTTTAAACAAATGTTAAGGGTTTTCATCTGAAGCTCACCCTCTGTATCAGTGACACTGTGATAATGTCTGGACACAGCGTAACTGGCAATAGGCCTGAATTAGTCCTCTATCACTTGTCTTTGCATATTTACTCTTCGTAAAAAAATCCATTCAATTCGCACAACAGCACACGAAGGCAGCTGTTCCTCAAGTTCTCTCTAAAGACACCCAGAACACCTGAGAGGAAGTATTTAGCTAAACTACATAGGATCTTATGTCTTCTAATACATTTCTACTGCTAATAATCCAGTTCCTTACTGTGCTTTTCTTAACTATATAAAAATCTCCCAAAACAAACACTTTTTGGGTTTCATTCAAATGACCTATAAAGCCCTTGTATAGGCAATTACTTACTTTGTCTGCTGCTGCCAACAAGCTGTCGGCCATTTTGTCAAGGTTTGGAGCTTTCCCAGTATAAATGAACCTCATCATCTCTTTAAAAACGTCAGGGTCTACATCATTTATTTCTACACGATTCTGTTACATGAAACAGGAAAAAAAACTTGTCATGGTTCCGACTTAAAATATTACACTATGTAATTCCTAATAGCTTACTATTTCATATCCAAAGTATCCTGATGTAACGTGACAAGAGATATTTAGCTCCTGCTGTAGTTGCTTAGAATCCTATTCTAAGTGGTGGGCACATTCAAATCCTATTCAAAAGTTAAAAATCGGAGACTCTTAACATCTTAGTTCCATGGGTCTCTACATACATTTCAGACAGGTTTCTAGAGCATGCTGAACCATAAGACTGCACTTGCTGAAATGGATGGAATCTGTCTAGCTCTTCTAATCTTAAGGGCCAGGTATGTTAATTCTATGCTTCTCATACAATTACTCCCTCCATTTCCATTTCTGAGGGAAAGTTCCAATTTGAATGCAATGCCAGTTTTATTTGAATGCTCCTCAATATTAAATCCTTGCAACTATATCCTTTGCCCCTCAATTTGTTTGGTAACAAAGACCGTTTCAGGAGCAACTAGGCCATATTGTGCCATGCATTAGTCTTGTTAAAAATGCAGCCCACCCCCTGACCCCGGGAGAGCATGAAGTCAAAATGCCCCATCTAATGTGGCACTATTGCCCATAGTTTTTCTGCACTATAAATAATTGCCATTTTAAACAATGTTCAATTAAAATCTCAATCACCTTTTAAGCTAATTGTAAGGTGTTTTTTAAAATCAGTTAACCTAACCCAGTTACCCAGCTACTGCATTCTTGATCTACACCAAAAGCTTACAGTTTTCTGGAAAAAAAACAAAACCCTCCTTTACAAATCATATGACGATAACATTCACTCACCTTTTTGCTTTCCTCCATTTCGTGTTCAAACATTGCATTAAAAACAGGTGAACGAGCTGTCGCAAGAGATAAAAGCATTAGTACCATACCAAGGTCGAAATAATTTTATCAAACAAATTATAATACAGAAGGAGGAGGTACCTGCAAGAACAGATTTATGAGCTTTGAACTCTTCTCCACCTACATAAAAGCTACAATCTGTAAATCTTGTTGTTTCCCAGAGATTTCCTAGATCTTCTGCTAGCCGGCATTCAGGTACCTTTAGTGTGTTTGTACTGGACTGTCCTGATATATTCACTGAGTCTTGGACCACGCTCACCTAGCAAAAAACAGTAATTTTATGCATTTCATAATGTTACAACTCCTATGGTTAACCTAGATTTAAGAATACAAACAAATATAGTTCTTCAGTCCTCAAGCAGTGACAATTCATTTTAATTGGGATATTCCAATATCCCAATATAAGCTGGAAGGAGAAAATGAAGCACAGAAGCAGCTATCCCTAAAACCTCACACTCAACTGGAAGAGTTCTTTATACAACCAGCACAGAAGAAATAAAAAATCAGGGGTGGACATTTCTTTGAAATCCACCACCAACAAAATCAGCAACACGCAGTACTACTGTTCCAACTTGCACCCCGAATAGTTCCTACCCTTAAGGCGAGATTCAAGAATATAGCAGACTTGAAAAGAGTTTGCACTGCTAATATCTTTAGAAACTAAGCAGAAGAATATTAATTTTGTAACACTCAGGAATGCTTTCATAGGTCAGAAAAGGTTCTGCTAGCTAACATTTTATAGTACCATTTAGAGATAAAGCAAGTTTTTTTAAAACAAACAAACAATAAAACAACACAGAATGCAGGTGGCCCAACCAAGGTCAGAAGGAAGTGGCACTGATGTAGAAAATGACCTCTCCTGGCTGAAGTTCACATTGGAGAAGGACTGCAAAAGGGCCAGGGTTCAATCCCTGGAAATTCCAATTTATTTGCTTTTATTTTTAACATTTAAAAAAAAAATCAGGCAGAAGAGAATGTGAAACACATGCCAAACAAATAGCCTGATCTGGAATAAGACTGCATCATATGGATAGAATACAACCTTCTTGCGCTGGGAACAAAATAATGGCTTCACAAGGTGAAACTTGGATCACATCCTGTGTTCCTATGATAACTCTTGACCAGCAAGCAAGATCACCCTTAGCAAATTCATGGATGGGTAGCGTTCAAAGCCAATATGCAAAGCTAATGCTGCAAGACTTGCTTTGCTCTACAAAGCAGTAACTGAGCACTCCCTGAAAGAAGTTGTGAAAACAAAGGGCAAGGTTTGATTCCCCCCAAGTCAAACCACTGCAATGCAAAATATTTCATCTTTTACAGAAACCCCTGACCTCTTAGTCAATATTCACTTATAAAACTACTTTGATCTACAGCAAAAACTATTTGAACCAGAAATATTTTATGGAGTAAGGATCCTTTTCAGACCTAGACATGTGTTACATCCACTTACCAACTGAATAATTGTATTCATAACAAATTTATCACACAGCTAATTTAGCCTGTCTATCTAAATAAAATAAGATGCAGTATATTTGCACTATTTAGTCTCAGGGGCCACATTTCAATTATTCTTCCTACACAGCATAATGACACATAATTAAGTTGTAATCTTGCCAAGTTTTTTTTGTACACATTTCTTGTAAATACACAGATCAAAGCAAACTTATTAGCAGTTAGAGCATCTATCATCCTCCTAAGCCACTAATCAGTCCAGGGCAGCAGTGATAACCTGCCAATGTATATTTAACATTCAGTGCACTGGGATCATAACCTTCCATTTTTAAGTATCATAAGCAGTCTTACTGGATTTTACTAAGACTGTTTAGGTTTCCGGCATAATTTATAGCTATTTACATATATTCCTCCCTGAGGCTAAAGATCTATTCCACCAGAGAATCTATATCCACTGGATTTTTCAATTAATTTAAGTAAAATGCACTTGCTTAGACACTCATGTGTAGTAGGGGTTGCCAATATTTTGTAATGTTGTGTTAACAGGCTTAAGTCTGAAGGGTACCATAATAAATTTGCTTCTAAATATCTAATGCTATCAAGGGATCGTTGCTGTAGAAACCTTATCACTGTATGGAAAGTTACAATTGCTTTTAAGAATCCCAAGTCCTGTTGTGTTGGATGTGTTTCAATCAGGAAGGCTCAAGGATGTGTACAAGATGCTTGGATTGTTCAGGGTAACCACTTGTACTCTGGAGCCCTGCCCCTCTTGAATGTAAAAACAACAACAACAACAACAAACTAGCAGGGAGGAGACAGCTGTTTGGGGCAGGGACTTGATCAATGCCTCCCTGCGAGGTGGTCCCTCAAAAAACTCTCCCTGAATTCAGAAAATCTAAGTAACTACCAGCAGCTGCTAGTCTCCCCTTCTTGGGCAAGGTTCTTGAGCAGGTAGTCACAGACTAAATCCAGGCGCTCTTGGAGGAAACTGACTTTCCAGATCCATTTTAATCGGGGTTTAGGCCCGGTTTTGGCACAGAAACTGCTTTGGTCGCCCTCTGTCGGGAGAAAGAAAGGGGAAATGTGTCTCTGTTAATTCTCCTCAACCTGTCAGTGGCTTTTGATACCACCAACCATGGTATCCTTCTGGAGCAACCGTCTGAATCAGAGGTGGGTGACATTGCTTTCTGGTAGTTCCCGTCCTCCTTGGATGGACGTTTCCAGAGGGGGATGCTTGGAGAGTGCTCTTCAGCCCCATGGAACCTTCAATGTGGGGTTCTTCTGTGTTCAATTTTATCCCCTATGTATGCTATTTAATATCTACATGACACCACTGAGTGTGGTTATCCAGAAGTTTGGAGTACATTGTAATAATCTGCTGATGACACACAGCTCTACAGGTGAGGCAGTGAATGTGATGGACCATTGTCTTACCTCAGTCATAGACTGGATGGGAGCCAACAAACTGAAGCTCAATCCAGATAAGACTGAGGCACTATTAGTGGGCAGTTCCCTAGACTGGAAGGCTGGGAGGTTGCCTGCCTTTGATGGAGTTAACCTCTCTCTGAAGGAGCAGGTATGTAGGTACTTCTGGATCCTTTACTGTTGCTTGAGGCTCAGGTGGCCTCAGTGGCCCAAAGTGCCTTCCATCAGCTTCGGCTGGTAGCCCAGCTGCACCCCTATCTGGACAGGGATAGCCTAACTACTGTTGAAATAAAAATAGATAGATGATAGATAGATATAGATAGATAGATAGATAGATGATAGATAAATGTCCAGTAGCACCTTAAAGACCAACTATGTTTGTTCTGGGTAGAAGCTTTCGTGTGCATGCACTTTTGGGCCTAATTCAAAGTGCTGGTTTTGACCTATAAAGCCTTAAATGGCTTAGAACCGGAAGACCTCAAGGACCCCCTCTTTCCATATAAACCAACCTGGATCCTGAGGTCATCATCTGAGGCCATTCTTCATGTGCCTTCTCAATGAGAGGTCCGAAGGGCAGCAACATGAGAACGGGCCTTTTCTGCAGTGACTCCCTGTTTGAGGAATGCTTTCCCCAGGGAGCTTTAGATGGCACCTTCATTATACACCTTTAGGAACAAGACGAAAATGTTCCTCTGGCTGATTAACATCCTATACCATTTTAAATGTGTTTGTGGTAGGAGGTGTGGGGGGTTATTGGTTTGTTTTTGTTTTTATTATGTATTTTGTGTTCTCATTTTATATTTCTATGTTGTGAACTTCCTTGCGATCTTTGGATGAAGAGTGGTATACTACTACTACTGCTACTACTACTAATAATAATGTCCAGATGACTGAGATTTTACTAACACTTGTATGTTAAATTCAGCCCTACATTTGACAGTCAGGGGCATAAAAATCCTGTTCTTCAGTTGTCACTGGCCAATTTAAATACAGATATAATATTAATTTAAATCATAGGAAGAGGGAGTTCACTTCCTCTCAAAGACAAACCAACTGTGGCTTCTCTGTAGCTCCACAATGACCATCATAGAGTACCAACCTAGGAAACTGATCCCACAACCCTGCCTTATATGTTACACCTTCTTCTACCCCAAGAAGACTACTGCAGTTTTTATCCTTCTACAGCTTTCCTTTCACTACATGCCAAACAGGAATTCTCCCAATGGCTGACATTATTTTTAGTAAAATCTTGCATCAAAACAACAACCATTATGCTAAAACATTTTATCAGGGCATTTCTGTAACACAGAGGGATAAACATAACATTTGAAAATATTCTTCATTCATAGCCATGGAAACCAATATTCTATTTTAAAAAGCACTGGTTGATTACCTACCTCACAAAATAACGTAAGCTTATCATCTGGTAAAAGACCATTAGCTTCATCAAGTAAGAAGTCTCTTCGAATGAATTTTTTAAAACCCCAATCTTTGCCTTGAACAAATCGATATGCTCTTTGGCTTTCTAAGTAAAATAGATTAAGTATGTTCAATTAAAACAGTTTTAATATACATACACAATAAGTGAAATCCAAGAGCCAAATCAAACCTAATAAGATAACAATTGCACCAAAGACTAATGCAAAATATGAGCTGTATCCAGATTAGCACCTTCATTAAGAGAAAGACTCATTTTGTTTACACCTGGGCATGGAAGTGGTGGTCCTCCAGGTGTTAATGGACTGCAGCTTCCATCATCCCTGGCCATGCTGGCTGGGACTGATGGGAATTGGAACACACCACCAGCTAGACAGCCACAGGTTCCCCACCACTGTTTGGAGATGGAATTAGTTCCAGTACAGGTTTCCCCCACATCCCCAGGTAGCACACCCCATGTCATTCTGTAGGGTCCTCCAGCCCTCCAGTGCAGTTTTGAGGGGCTGCAGTGGGAAGGATCAGTACAAATCACCTCCTAAGTGCAAATGGAATGTCACTGAATGCACATCTGGATTCAACTCTATATTTTAAAATTAAGCATATGATGGTCACATTCAGAACCCAAAGCACTGTAGACATAACTTCAGAAAGTCAAAAGAGGTTTGAGACACAGCACAAGGACTTCGTGTGGGCAAAAGCCCATGCATTCAACTCATGGGATTCTTTTTAATGTTTGATATTTTACTGTTTTATATATGCTGTAAGCCACCTAGAGTGGCTGGGGAAACCCGGCCAAATGGGTGGGATATAATAAATAATAGTAATAGTAATAATAATAATAATAATAATAATAATAATAATAATAATAATTCTGACTACTACTGTGTTCAGTTTCATGGAATTACCACTTTCTTTTCTGAGATGCCTTTTAGTACAGGAGATTAGTGCAAGAGTAGAATTCCAGCCACACGTTTCAGCTGGAAATACAAAAATCACCCCCAAAATCTCTCATAAGCCCAGATGAAGCAGAGGAACCACTGATGTCAGAGACACTGCAGATAGCTAAATTCATATAATTCCATTTATTCCTCCCTCTCTCCCTTCCCCACATGATTCCAACCTCCAACTTCACCTCTACGCCCACATACCACAAATTTTCTGGGAGCTACAGCGGGGATGTGAAATTCCCCTAGCACTAAGGCAGCACAGGGTACCCCCCATTATTCTGGTTCTAAGTTAACGCAGTATTACTTTTTAAAAACAAATGTTAGCAGTAATTGAACCATTAAAGACAATGGATTTTTTCTGCAATTAGCTGCTGATGTTACATTTTAGGAGCATTTTAGTGCATTGAACAATTTACAAACCTTATCCCATTAAGGGCAGAATATATTTTTCCATAATTAAATGATACAGAGTTAAGCAACAGCCGATTTCCTCACTTTCTTCAGTAAGTTTATAATGAAAAGGATCTGAACCAGTCTATTATTGAATCATATACTCAAGGCCACATCATATACTAGAGGACACATGTTTCATTCCAGATGTGGTGACACACAAGACCAGCTCCAATACATACTCTTTTTCAGTATGGCTGAGAACACACACACACGGACACACAATGTCCAAATTGCATGGCAGGTCCTGTTCTCTTGCTTGTGATAATAGTTCGTTAGCAAGATATAATTTAGGACAAAATTAAACTTCAGAAGTCGGGACGCGGGTGGCGCTGTGGGTAAAACCTCAGTGCCTAGGACTTGCCGATCGCATGGTCGGCGGTTCGAATCCCCGCGGCGGGGTGAGCTCCCGTCTTCCGGTCCCAGCTCCTGCCCATCTAGCAGTTCGAAAGCACCCCTAAGTGCAAGTAGATAAATAGGTACCGCTTTATAGCGGGAAGGTAAACGGCGTTTCTGTGTGCTGCGCTGGTGCTGGCTCGCCAGAGCAGCTTCGTCACGCTGGCCACGTGACCTGGAAGTGTCTGCGGACAGCGCTGGCTCCCGGCCTCTTAAGTGAGATGAGCGCACAACCCTAGAGTCGGACACGACTGGCCCATACGGGCAGGGGTACCTTTACCTTTTTAAACTTCAGAAAGTGGGACTTGAAAAACTGAAGTCAGTTTCATTCAGGATATGTAAAACAGAACAACTGATTTTTAACGACAAAACACACTTGGTAGTCTCATTAACCCCTGCTGGCTAAAATGCAAACATGATTTGTAGATAAAAGGTAACATCCCACATTCCCCCCTTCTGAAAGAAAGTATCCACCAGCAGAACAGGGGAGGGAAGCATTCTGGATTATTCCTCCTCCCCTCTGTCTCCACCCCATGTGCTCCAGGTGCCCCCCCGAACCCTATGGAGCAGATTTTATTTTTAAAAAACTTGTCAAACAGTGAATAGTCCCTCTTTGTTCTGTTTTCCCCAGGCAACAGCTGGATATTTGTCATGGCAACTTGAAAAATTATATCATAAATAAATATACCACAAAACATTAGGAAAGCTTATGTAATCATGTTTGAATAGGAAATGCATACAAAAAGAAGGACAAATCTCATTTAGATTTAAATAGTTGAATTGCCTCTGAATTGCCAACTATACCATTCTCCAAACTATACCACAAAGGAAGCCATTACACTGTGACTGAACTTGTACAGACACAAAGTAATAAATCTGAGTTTACAAGCTTTTAAATAAATAAATAAATAAATAAATAAATATCTGATCTGACAGACCTTTTACTCCTTAAACTGAAAACTACCTATTGTTCTTGAAGCATTTTAAAATCCACTTACCCATTGCTTTCGTTTCTTCTCTTTTTGCATTTAAAAGAGAAAATTTAAATTTTGCTCTCACTTCACTTTTTGGACAACTAACTAGAAGTAAATACAGTGAAAGGTAATCTTTGCTTTCATCATCCAGTCCTTTGGGGTTTACTCTCAGGCACCTGAAATAAAGAACATAAGAAGCAAGTCTTAGAAACATCAACTTGTTCTCCAATCCATAAAGGCCTAACTTGCTAAGATATTTAAAACTTGGAGTACTGTTGTGATATGATTTTTTACACGTACACAATAAGTCCCCTGGGTTCCGGAGATCAGTTTTTTAAACTTACATACAGTGGTGCCTCGCAAGACGAAATTAATTCGTTCCGCAAGTTTATTCTTCTTGCGAGTTTTTCGTCTTGCGAAGCACGGTTTCCCATAGGAATGCATTGAAAATCAATTAATGCATTCCTAGGGAAACCGCTTGCCAGGCTGGCGGTGCGGAGAAGGGCTTTTCTCCCCACCGCAAGCCTTCAGGACAGGTACGGGAACAGAGGGGAAGGCGCGCAGCGCTTTCCCTCTGTTCCCGGGGCTTGCGTGGGAGGAGGGTTTTTCCTCCCCACCGCCAACATTCAGAACAGCATTCTGAATGTTGGCGGTGGGAAGGAAAACCCTCCTCCCACCCCAAGTCTTCAGGAAAGCCATCCGAAGCCGGGTGGCGGGAGAAGGTGTCCCCACCCCCCCGCCCGGCATCGGAGCTTCGTTCCGATGGCGGGCGGCGGGAGAACGCGTCCCCGCCCCCCCCCCGCCCGGCATCGGAGCTTCGTTCTGATGGCGGGCGGCGGGAGAACGCGTTCCCGCCCCCCCGCCCGGCATCGGAGCTTCGTTCTGATGGCGGGCGGCGGGAGAACGCGTTCCCGCCCCCCCGCCCGGCATCGGAGCTTCGTTCCGATGGCGGGCAGCGGGAGGAGGTCCAAGGACAGTGGGGAAAACACGCTGCGCTTCCCCGCTGTCCCGGAGATTTCCCTATGGGCTTTCGTCTTGCGAAGCAAGCCCATAGGGAAAATCGTCTTGCGAAGCAACTCCCAAACGGAAAACCCTTTCGTCTAGCGGGTTTTCCGTCTTGCGAGGCGTTCGTCTTGCGGGGTACCACTGTATGTATTCAACACCCATGATCTCCAGTTGCTCATATCTATATATCCCTATTGCTCTTCTCCTGCTGTCACACCTTTCAATACTCCAAGGAACGACCATATATACAGTGGTGTTCTCCTGAAATGCTTCTTCAGAAGGGTGGGGCCCTCTTGAACAAAATGAGATTATTATTATTATTTATTACATTTCTATACCACCCTTCATCCAAGGATCACAGGGCAGTTTACAAATAGGGAACCCTGCTAGTGCCACACGGATGTGAGCTGAGCCATAATTTGCTTCCTCCAGACAAGTCCACAAGGCAGCAAGTCATTCAACTAACCTTGGCTCCCATGGCTTTGCTCACAGCACTGTGGCAGGAGCTGCAATGAAAGAGCAGCAAAGCTGCAGCAATCTTTCTTCCGCAAACTTGGCTTGGCTTAGTATTACATGCAAACTGGGCCCCCGAATTGCCCAAATTGCTCTCAGTAACCTCACAAATGAAGATTTTAACCCAATGACTCTCTGGCCCTAATACAACACATTACATCATCTTGCCTTATTTTGCCACAAACTATATAGCATTTCAAACCGTTAGCTGTTCAGATCTCTGTAATGTAGCAGAAAATCAGTGATAGTTTGCCCCACTTTCAACAATAAAAACAGTTTTAAGACTGGAGGATAAACCACCATACATGTGATTTTATTTATGACATATTCACAGATTCTCAAGAGACCGTATGCTTAAAGAAAAGAAAGTGAGAAGCCACTGACAAATGACTAATACCTACCATTTCATTTTGTCATTTGGCCCTGATGAAAAAGTAGAACTCTTTAAAACTTCCCCCATTTCTTCTCGGCAGAAGCTGAAGTTATTAATGGTCCACATATAAGAAAATTTTACAACTTTAACCTGAATAAGAGATGAAGACAATCACGTAAATTCACCAGATTCACTTTTCTTCAGCTTAATTTTTTTTAAAGCAGTTATTGAAGAAATAACCTCAACTGGTTTAAACTGGTTTTTTGGGGGGAGGAATATCTCATAGAATTAAGGAGTCACTGCAGCTTATACTGTGCACTTGTTAAAAAAGCCAGTTTCAGAATAGGATTCCATAAGCTACCAATGTTTGACATTTGAGCAAGATTCATTCCTTTGGGGCCCCTTATTTGATCAGTTATCCACCAGCAACTGCAGGCTTTTTCAGAGCCACAGGTTGTATTATTGTAGACTTTAGGTGGTTAATTAATTTGTCCTACATCTCAGCAACCTTCGGTTGTATTCAATAGCTGCACAAATAGAAGGAAGCTTGCACAATGAATGTTTCTCAATGGATGTCCTCACCTCTGCAAATCCTCCCAATCACTGGATACAACCTTCTGTATTTGATTTCTTGCCTATTATATTGCTGATCTCACCTGTCACCATATTTTTATCATTATTTTTGCAAATAGTATACATTTTCTTTTTGAATTATGGTGCTGGAGGTGACTCTTTAGAGTCCCATGGACTGCAAAAAGATCAAACCTATCCATTCTTAAGGAAATCAGCCCTGAATGCTCACTGGAAGGCCAGATCCTGAAGCTGAGGCTCCAATACTTTGGCCACCTCATGAGAAAAGAGGACTCCCTGGAAAAGACCCTGATGTTGAGAAAGATTGAGGGCACAAGGAGAAGGGGACGACAGAGGACAAGATGGTTGGATAGTGTTCTCGAAGCTACCAGCATGAGTTTGACCAAACTGTGGGAGGCAGTGCAAGACAGGAGTGCCTGGCATCCTCTGGTCCATGGGGTCAAGAAGAGTCACAGACACGACTAAACAATAACAAATACATTTTCTGATTGGTTCTCTTTATTATATTACTTTTTTTGCCTTCTTATTCCATTTACTTGGAACCAGAATTCTGGGTATCACATTGCATTACTGCTGGAAGCTATATCTGAAAGTGTCCTACTATTAAACATGCCATTAACAAAACCTGGACACACACATACATACAGGTATGTGGCTTACCTGTGTGTAACACCAGCTTTCAGCTATAGGACCACTGGACATCTCTCCAGGTGGTGGAGGAGTGGAGACTCTTGACATCCCCACTTTATTGCAATTTTTTACAGTATAAAGGCAGCAATTCAATTGTCAGTATTCTTCCTACACAAATTAAGATGAAACAATGCATTAGTATTTAGAAAAAGTACAGCCAAGTACTCACTATTAAGGTATTACTTTAACTACTTATGGTAGACGTTAGATAAATTACTGAAAAAATATCAAGGGTAATTGTAAGACAAGTCTATTGACCAGATATCAAAGACCAACAAAAGTTTGTGTTCCACCCATGTAAATGAAAGATATATTGTGCTTTAGTACCCCAGGGAGGACATCCCTCAATTTTCAGATGGGACACAGTCAAAGTGTGATTGTCTAAACATCAGTAAACCTGCATTACTCTTGGGGATGTGTGAAATCAGTGGGAGGCTGATTAAGTTATATGTGTGCTATAGAATAATAAATTGATTCTTCTCAACTAGAAATTCTGTGAAGACTATCTTTTGAAAAGCAGGTGGCTTTTACAGCAGCTGAATCAGAGTAGATATTTCTACCTGAAGTCATTCATGCATTATGTCTATCCAAAAGTTCTTCTCTACTCTGTCCTTGACTGAAAAGTACCCTTCAGTTCAGAGGCTCTGGTATGTGCAATTGCCTTTACTTTTTATTCCAGGATGGCTGCTATGTCTATACATGGCACAATCCCCAATTGAAAGCAAGGTAATTTGCTATTGTCTTAGAGCAAAAAGGCAAAATCTATACACTCCAACCAGTACTACCAATTCTTCATGAATAACCTTCCTGTCCCAATTTACAATAATAGTAAGAGCACAGCCAGTTGTTTTGATTATTTAAAAGCTGCCTCCTAGGACTTCACACCTTCCAAGAAGTTTTATAGAACATCACACTACGTAATATGGAGAGTCTACCTGTTATTAAATGCAAATGATTGGTTAGTTCAGGCTCCTGGGCACTCGTAACCTGGCTACTGTGATGTTCAACTGTGTTATTTATTCCTCCATTCTGCTAAACCAGTCTTGTATTTAACAACTTGCCATAAGAGACCAGAATTCCATGGATATAAGGATATGAAATTCCATGAAGACAAGTGAGCAGACTGTCAGAGGAAGGAAAAATTGCCTCAACCCTTTTCTGCCAATGTGCTTAGTAGAAGATCTTTTAAACAGCCTTCTAAGAGGCTAGTAGCTTGGAGGAGAGGGGTTGGCCTCCTCTGTGGCCAGGATGAAAACAAAATACTAGCTTGCTTCCGAATTAGTAAAAAAAGGCTGGTAACTTTTGTGGGCATATTTACAAGTTGCCCTAAATTGTGTTACTGTTCAAAGATGCCTGCACATGCTCATTAAAAGCTAAGCTAAATGTGAAGAAAGGATCCAATTTCCCTGAAGAGGGCATGACTCCTCTAGGGCTGAGGAGCAAGAAGCTTCCACTCCTGCTATTACTATCAAATAACCACATAAAAAGATTTGGTGGCAATCACACAAGTGTGTTCTAGACTTCATCTAGTAGAAAACTGTTAGTTGATCAATCAAATAAGGCAAAAATGAAATGAACGGCATCTCAGCCCTATAATTGCTTCTTCAAACACTATCCTCTGCTTACTACGTCTTTGCCATATTTCTGCATGCTGCCTTGTGATCATTACTGTTCCTATAAATGAATATTCCATGCGGAAAATGGGGTTGTAAGCCCACTCAGGGGGCCTTTTCATTATAGAAGTTACACAAAAGTAGACCCACAAAGTAGTTTAATTTATTGTCAACTATATGGAAGTTTCAGCCACTTATCATTTACAGTTTTCTTTCTGTAAATAAAAAGCGGCTGAAGCAAAACACATCCCAAGAAGAGCAAAAAAAACTTACAAATGGGCTATCCCCGTGAAGTTTTTCAAGCAAAACTCAACCAAATGTAGTGCTATTTTGGGACATTTTTTCACCCTTATATACAATCACCTTGGGATATAAAAATACTCCCTAATACTCTTAATTTTTGTTTATGAATTAACATCTTGGCTAAAAAAAGATGGCCATGTGATTTCTCAAGTGAAAATCAATCCAGGGAAGCATAGGAAAAAAGTGTCCTTTTCCTGACGCAACACATAGCTTTGCTTGGGATACCCTACTCCAAAATACATTGGAAGAAAGTGTCAGTAGTGTAGTGTAGTGTAGTGTAGTGTAGTGTAGTGTAGTGTAGTGTTTACGACTAGGACCTAGGAGACCAGGGTTCAAATCCCCACTCAGCCATGAAGCTCAATGGGTAACTTTGGGCCAGTTACCATCTCTTTTAAGGAAGGTCAATAATACTTATAACAATACACAGCAGCACATATTTTGACAACTTTTAAGTGTCAAATATTATCAAAATTTTGGCCATTCAATTTGGTAGTAATGCAAATATCTGTGCTTTAAGAATCTGAGCCCATTGGCTCCTAGTTGTTTATATATTTTGGAAACCAATGATGCTGCAAACCATATAGAATGTGTTACAAGCTAAATAGATACCATAACCTTTGCAGTAATAATTTTAGTTTTAAAATAATTTCTACTCTATCCTTGCCCATGAAGAAACAATAGTGCCATCTACTTCAGAAATATTTTTTTTAAAGCTTAATACAATAGGTACAACCCAGCCAAGTTAAACAATTTATAACATCCTCTTAAACATGTCTACTCAACAGAAAGTTCCACTGCTTTCCATGGATCTCACTCCTAATAAAGGAATGCAGCTTAAATCTCACTGATTTCTATGGAGCATTCAAGTACACAATGAGCACCTTCCATTTAAATAAATGGGATCTAAAAGTGCTTAACTTTGGCTGGATTGTGCCCAGTGTGGATTTATGACAGTGTGGATTATCAGTAAGAATGGGAGAGTACAGCTTTAAACTGAAGCTTTGGCAATATGTGTACGAACATCTAAAATCACTATGGAAATTCTGTTGGTAGTTACAGTTACAGTTACAGATCAATCTTTTAAATACAGATAAAGAGATCTAGCCAAGTCTACAAGCCTCATCTTACACAGTTAACTCCATGAACACTACAGCAAGTTACTGCACATAATTATACAGACCATGAAATCCAATTTAAAGGCATTATGAATTGCATATCAAACTAAAATATTTAGTCTGTTTCAGAAATGTATGAGCAAAAGATGTATTAATCACAAACAGCTCTATTTTATTAGCTTTAGGATTTTACCTAAGCCAAAAGGATCATAGTTGGATTGTTTTTAGTAAGTCACGTTCAGATTTGTGCTAGGTTATGAACTCTAGAGACACGGACATATCTCTTGGTGTAAAAAAACATAAAGGTGCTAACTGACAAATGAAGTTAGTACAAAATCAAGTCAACTGTCAAAGAATGGGTCTACACTTTGAGTCATATTTATTTTCTTACGATTTTTGCTTATGCGTCGTCATCATCATCATACCACAAAATAAATTGATAATCAGAGTTCATCTTGCTTTCTGAAACCATTTCCCCCCAGACAGTAGTTTACTGCCACTAAACATCATTATGAAAGTTTATACAGCTACCAAAAGCAAACAGCATTAGCAGCTGTCTTCCATAATTCTTATTGTCTTGGTGAGCGTACCACTACCTCTGGCAGGTGTGATGAGCCCCAGCTGTCTCAACTGGAAGCTACAGCAGTGGTTGGGAAGTAGCCTGGCAGCTGCAGAGCAATCCCTGACTCTTTCCCAGCTCTAAGGGTTGTAGTGGTACCTCGGTTTAAGTACTTAATTCGTTCCGGAGGTCTGTACTTAACCTGAAACTGTTCTTAACCTGAAGCACCACCTTAGCTAATGGAGCCTCCTGCTGCTGCCGCGCCGCCGGAGCACGATTTCTGTTCTCATCCTGAAGCAAAGTTCTTAACCTGAAGCACTATTTCTGGGTTAGTGGAGTCTGTAACCTGAAGTGTATGTAACTTGAAGCGTATGTAACCCGAGGTACCACTGCATTTGGTCATGGCACTGTAAAAGGGGCCAGAGCACCTTGGCCCTAGACAACCAAACCAAGCAGGCTTTACACCTCCTTTTACACATAATGCAAAACAATTGTTTGGCTGTTTGTGCTGGAACATTGGGCTTACACTTTGCACCCTCCTCATATCCTTCAATTCTCTCACTTTAGAATTTAAATATTCATGCCAAAGCCTTGAACTTATGCACTTCCCTGTCCCTTCTGTGGGCAAATTCCCTTTTTCACTTTCTGACTTGATGAGGCCACATTTTGCCCAATTTGGACACAACAGCCAACTATGTTTTGATCAAACCAGGAAATGAGAGCTGGAACAGGTGCATCCAGGGCAGGGAGAAGAAGCACAGGAGCCCAAGGTTGCATGTGAATATTCAAGCCATAGTTCCCCACTGCAGGTGAACGGATCCAGTATTGAAAAGCAACCGCTTTTATGCAGTTACATTTTGGCAATGAATTTTAGCTGACCAATAAGAATTTATGGAGTGGTGTCAATGTAAGAAATAACTCTGTAGTCTCTAGAGTTCATAACCTAGCACAAATCTGAACATCATCAAAAACTTAGGATCCAGGAAGGCAAAATAAGAAAGGCTGCTCCATTAGCCAGATGAATATGATATCATCATGCACCTTAATTGCAAATTTGTGTTTTGCCATCCATCATCCATAGACAAAAATAATATGGTGCGCTTCCATGGTATACCAGTATCTAGAAAAAGCTTCACCCGACTTAGCACTTGCTAAATTACATATGCTTAGGAATTAACATACACAGCTTCTTACAGTCTTAACTCAGGGGCCTTCTTTGGGTAGTGGAGTTTGCTGTGCTTTTCCAGCTCCTCATAACTGTAGGAGTGAACTAGGACTACACAACACACATGAAGTACTAATAAGCAGATTCCCTCACCAAACTACAAAGGAATAACCTTACAAGCAAAAAACCCCAAAAACAAATTACCTTGAGCCCCAAAATCAATGAAGTGACACTGCCATACTGTTTTAGTCACATAACAGTACTTTTCCCCTCGTCCAATGGTTAAAGATCTTTATTACAATGCCACATAAAATCACACAATTAGTTGGAACCAAACTACCTGCAGGGGGGGG